TAGATATTTTTTAGTAGTAGTAGATGTTAATTTAGGGTTCATAGATAATGATTTTTAGTAGTAGTAGATGTTAATTAGTAGTAATGATGGTACTAGTTAACTACGGCAGTATGGTTAATAGTAGATGTTTTTTACTATTGTATAATGTAGTTTTTTTTTACTGTTTTTAGTAGGTGTTTAAAATAATTAGTAAGTAAATTAATAAACTAGTTGAACTAGTTTAGTTTTAGTTGAACTAGTTTAGTAAGTAAATTAATAAACTAGTTGAACTAGTTGAATTAATAGAACTAATATATTTTTAGTAAGAAAATTAAAATAACTAGTTGAACTAGTTTGTTTTTAGTTTATTTCTATTTATAGTAAGTTTATATTTAGTAAGAACTATTTGAATTAATAGAACTAGTTGAACATGTCACATTTGTTGTTATTTTTTTAGTTTAAGCAATTATTCCCGCATCGATGTCGTTCGCTAGGGTTTTATTTATAGGGTTTTTGTTTTTGCAGAAATCAAGGAGCCCCTCCATCATCCCCGCCGTCGTCCCCGTCACCGACCTCCTCCGACCTCAAGGTGGGACTAGCCAAATCTCCATGTCAATATGAGTCCTATAAGATACGATGTAGATAAAAACATGTATATCTTGTGTTGCTCAAATAGGGTATGTGGTTGCCCAAGGGGCCGGTCATGTTCAGGTTACACCTTCGAGTGGCCTATGTTTTGCCGGAGTGTTGATTAATTTCCGTTTCGGCAAATTTCAGGCGTTCGATATGTCCTATTTTAGCAAAAGGTCATGCCAGAATTTTTCGTGAATTTTGGCATGACTTGTGTTAGAATATGTAGGAAATATCGAGTGGCCTGGATTTTCTAGAAAAATAATTAAACGACATTTCGGGTTGACATTAAGTCTGCCGAGGCTTCATCACCGAAGGTCGAAAAATCAGTGAGGGAGTGTATCCACCATAAATGAGAGAGGACGAAGAATCCCGACTGTTGTCGTGGGGGTCGTTTCTCCTTCTTTTCCCTGTGCTAGACCTTTGTTATGCACTAGAGAAAGAAGGAGTAACGACCATCACCTACGGTTGCAAATGTCAGAGAGGAATCAGTGAGGGAGAGTCTCCACCATATAGACTCGACAGACCGATAGTTAACCCGTGATGAATAATAATGATCTAATTTAATTTTTATAGTACATATATTTAATTGTACAAGTTTAATATTTGAATTATGAACATAGGAAATGTCGTACTCAGACGACGAAAGTCTCCCCAGGGAGTGCTCCTGGTGCCACGACGACCGGGGTTTCTGCGACAGGCCTCACCTGGACGAAGATCGGCGCTTCAGCATTAAGCTCGAGGAGGCCTTCGATTGTGATACGGTAAGCTACAACGCAAAGTGTTTTTTTCGTAATTAAGCTCGACTTCTACTACTTCAACATGTAATTTTCGTCTTTTACAATTTGACTAGCTTATCCCATGCCATGCAAGACGCTAGGTCTTGGAGAGAATGGGTTTTGAAGATCATGAGAGGAATGAAACAAAGAAAAATAACCTAAGGACCCATCATGGTATGGATTTTGAGGTAAATCTATACAATTCTAAGAGCGTATCCCATTTTGGTTGCCCGGGTTGGGAAGCACTTTGCAAGATGTATGATTTTCAAGAGGGTATGTTTGTCACCATGGATCTTGGTGATCCTGACATCGACCAAGACAATTTGGACATTTGGGTCCTTGTTGATACACTTCCAATTCTACCGTTATGTGAGTTTCTCAAATATAGTTATTAACTAATTTATATTGTTCATTTCAAAATAGTTGATAACTTATTTTCATTAACAACTTATTTTAATTGTTCAAACAATGTGCGGAACATGGTAGACAGAACCAACTACACCGATGGCTCCGAGTTAACTTATCAGGAGAAAAATCATCTGGTCGCATTTTGTATTGATCTTGAGAATTACAATATCTATAATAAAACTCCTCCACATTATGGTCAATACGTGCCACTAGTGCACGTGTTGAACTACGGTAACATCCTTGGAGATGCCATGGTAAGATTTTTTACTATTACGACATCCGTGCATCTTTTGCACAAATTCTTTTAAAACTTAACTACATTGCTAACTACGAAGTTATTACTACGTTTTTCAACCAAAAATCCCGGATGATTGTGTGCCTCATCTGATGTATCAGAAAGGTCGCCTTAATGTTTTGAACATACAGCCAGGTCGTCCTATGAATCTCACCTGTCCATATCGGATTTCTAAAAGAGGTGGAGACATGAAAATCACATGATAGAAAAAATGTATGGACAATCGTAAGGAGCTACTTGGAAGCAACATTGTGCGAAAGGCAAGAATTAACGACAGGATAATCTCCATTCTCCATAATGGAGAGTCAGGGGTTATCTTGTTTTATGCTATTTTACCTAAGAGAATATAGTAGGTCCTAAGAGAATGTAGTAGGTCCTATGAGGTACAATATTTATTATGTGGTACAATGTGTTAGAGTTGATAATGAGGAGTAGTTGTGATTATGACTAGTGACCAACTTGCTATGTGATGTCTCATTGATGAAAACGATGATCATGAGGAGGTGTTATATGACAATGATGTATTATGATGACAAGTTGTTAATGATATGATGATGATGATGATGATGATGATGACGACGATGATATTTATTATATCATTGGGTGAAAGAACTGCAGATTAGTTTCAAGTGGATGCCCATCCACTCGAAACTAGTGCACGGTTCTTTCACCCAATGATGTAATAACTCATTATGATGTAAAAACAATCTCTAAATTGCTGCTGTATGAAAACTTGTATAAAGGTGTAGGAATAAAACATGAAATAAAAAAGAAATAAAATACGAAATAATAGTAGTAGCGCGTGCCGGGAGAAGCGCTACTAGTAATTACCAGTAGCGTTGTTTGGAGAAAACGCTACTACTAAGTCGATATAGCAGTAGCATGGGTTAACCCACGCTACTGCTAACCTTTAGCTGTAGCGCCGTACCAGTAGTGCTCCAGCCCACGCTACTGATAGGACTAAAACCTAGCTGCTGCTAGGCTTTTTCCCTAGTAGTGCTAGGGCATATTTCCTTCAGTATGTTGAAAGGGAAGTTCCCAAACTTTCAAAAGAAATTCACTAAAAGAATGTTGTTATGGGGTAGTTTATCTCAAGGTAGTAAAGAAGTGTTAATAAAGTCTTTTGCTTAGTCAATTCCGATGTACATCATGAATGTGTTCAAATTGTCGTTAGGTTTATATGATAACCTAAATGAGATGATTAGGAATTATTGGTGGGCATCTAAAAAAGGTAAGAGGCTCAATGGAAATCTTGGGACCATTTGTTGAAGCCAAAGAGTCGACGGGGATCGGCTTCCAAGAATTTAGGCATTTTAATCAAGCTTTACTAGCTTGTCTTGCATGGAGATTGCTGATGTTCCAGGATAGTTTATGTGCCAGAGTACCGCGTGCAAAATATTATCCCAATGGAAACCTTGATGATACAGTTTTTATGGGGAATCCATCTTCTTCATGATAGGGGATCTCTCAGGTTTGGACTTGTTGAAAAAGGGTTTAACTTGAAGCATCAACAATGGTACAAAGGTTAAAATTGAAGAGACAACTGGATTCCTCGTAACCATTCTTGCAAGGTTGTCTTCCCAAAAGGAAGATGTCAGTTATCATGGGTCTTTGGACTTATGGATGTGAATGATGGATGTGAATGGTGCATGGGATGAAAATTTAGTACGTCAATATATTTCTTTGGATGCTCATGAGATCTTGAAGATCCGACCATGCTCTCCAAACTAGGATGATATCCTAGCTAGCGTGGGTTGGGGAGAAGTCTAGAAAATTTACCATCCGTAGTGCTTATCAGATGGCTCTTGAGGAGCAGAATTAAGTGGAACACTATTCTTGTAGTTCATCACCAAATGGGGATCGTCCTTATGGAAGTTTTCTTGGGGAAGTGTCGCACCTCCGAAGGTAAATATCTTTATTTGGCGGCTGGAAACAAACTCTCTTCCAACTCATTTTTTGAAGCACTCTAGAATTATGGAGCTTCCGACCTCCTTCCCTATATGTGATGGCGAACACGAAAGTTCTTTCATGCCCTGTGTTGTTGCCTTTTGTTTCGTTGTGAAAGGCTATCGCTGAATACTGGTCTCTTTCTGATGTGGCGCATATAAGAAATACTAGCACAAATTGTATCCTTCATATCATGTGTGAACTGAGAGGCTCAATGACTGAAGCTATTTATGTTGTTGTGGCAAATTTGGTACGCTTAAATAGTTTATGCAAAACCCGCACCTCCACTGGACGTCTCACAAATGTTTATGTGTACCTATGTAGCTTCCATTCTACACATCTCACAAGCGCCATGATATGACCTAGTGAAGGGTAAAGCCATGCTCTCGGATGATGACCTTCACATATCGATCCTTCCCGTTCAGAAAAATACTCAGGCTTTGCTTTGGTTTCCTTTCTAGCATAGTTATGTAAAGTTGAATAGTGATGGCTCCTTTTTATAAGGGTGTTTGGTTGGGATTTTACTTGCCTTTTTTACTTTGGCTTTTTTGGCTTATAAGGTGCTTTTGAGAAAAATATAAGCTTAGGTGTTTTTTTTTGCTTATAAGCCAAAGTGAAAAGGCCAAATAAAAGCCCAACCAAACACCCCTAAGTTAGTGGATAGATCTGCAGCAATGAGAATAGTTTTGAGAAGCTCGAATGGTGAAATAATGTTCACTTCATGTAAGCACCTTCTTTCTTGCAAGGACGCTTTCTAAACTGAACTATATGCAATATCTAAAGAAGTCTCGTCATCCTTGCAATGGAGTTATCTCTTGAATCTGATTGTTTGGGGGCCATATACTTTTTTTACCCCACGAGGCTATACTCGCTAAGCAATAAAGAACCATATAGATCAAGAAATTCTTTCTTGGGTCAGGAGATCAAGCGGAAGCTGGAGGATAGAGAATGTTGTATTGTTCATGTTCGTCGTAGTAGTGAGCAGCAGCGTACTGCAGTTTGGCTAGGTACAGGGCCTTTGGTTGATGTGTTTGGATCTCGTCTTCGGTCATGTGTCTACAGGTTTGATCGTTCCGATCTACGCTTTCCATCGTCTTTGGTTCGCTCTAGTATTTGTAGTCGTCGCTAGTTGGTCCACAGATATAGTTATCTAATATTCTCTGTACCACATGCAGAATATATTGAAAGTTTCTCCTAATAATAATAATAATAATAATACAGTAATATATTATATACCAAAAAATCAGAGGAGATACAAAGACTTGGCCAGCCCAAGGTGCTTTGCTACTGGTACTAGCAAAACCTCCTCCCCTCCTTCGCTTCTCCTGTCGTGCTGCAGCAGCAGCAGCCGGACTCCTCCCCCCTTGGCCGCCGCCGCCGCTCTCCTGAATCCCAACGAATTTTAGCCGGGAAACGCTTTATTCTTCAGGCTACCTTGTTGACTGCATCCACCGCCGCTGTTCCTCGCCGCTGCTTTGGATTCCGCTGCCGTTGCTTCGTCTCCCCCTCTCTCGCGGCGGAAGAGGGGCGGAGGTGGCACTAATGAAGAGGCTAGTAAGTACGTTTTCTCCCGTGATTTTCGATCGTTCGCTCGAGTGCTGGATTCTTCCTGTCCGTGTTGCTCTTTCCTTGCTGCTCCGTGATGTGTCATGTGTCGCTCTTGGGTTCTCGTTTTGGTGCTTGATTTGTGTGTCTCCCGTGTGATCCGTTCCCAGTCTCGGATCTCTGCCTGGGGAATGGCGTATCCTTTCCTCGCTTCCTGATCGTTCCCCTGAGGTCTTCCGAGCAAAGACGCGATTTCTCGTGCTTCTTGATGTGTCTCGCGAGTATGTGTGTGTTCTCGGAACAGAGTTTGGAGCACTGATCTGGAAGAGCGATGTTTTGATGTGTAAGAAATGCTAATTTCTTGCTGTGTTCATGGCAGTGGCGTCTTCAGGTGGTCCTGTCATGGGTCCTGGCCGTCGTTCTCGGCTCAGTCCACGGCCATGTGCGGCGGCAATGGGGAGAGCAGGTGCCCCCGGAGTCGCGGCCGCACAGCGTCACCATTACCGAGTTCGGCGCCGTAGGGGATGGTAGGACCCTGAACACCCTGCCCTTCCAAAACGCCGTCTTCTACGCCCGGTCCTTCGCCGACAAGGGCGGCGCGCAGCTGTACGTCCCCAAGGGTCGATGGCTCACCGGCAGCTTCAACCTCACCAGCCATCTCACCCTCTTCCTCGAGAAAGATGCCATCATCGTCGGCACGGAGGTATACATATCCTTTTCAGCTGCATTTGCATTGAACTGCTAGTTATTAGGATAGGCATCTCCAATCAGTTCATCTTAGTTTCTTTGGACATGATTGGTGGATATACCTGATGAAGTATTGATTTTGACATGTGCAATGTGAGGTCATAGGTTATGGATTTATCAGGGAAACGCCAATGTAGTTCGATTGTGCTCTTTGTTGGCACGCTAGACGGCAGAGGAAATTCTATGCAAATACCCGATCAGCAGGGTTCAAGTTGGCTGGTATTTTTAGTTGTTTCCTTCTGCTTTACCATAGACAGCGAGTGTTTGGAAGGTGAAACTTACCTGTTTGATGTGAGGGCTATGACTAATAAGAGACAATTTTCTTTTGCATTGTTTTGAAGTCAAGCTGCTCTTTTTAATTATGCATGAACAGAGCATGGGCATGCTGCTCTGATGCTCCCACAAAGATTGCGATTGCTTTTCGGTTTTATATAAATTCCTTGTGTGCCACGCGGCTATTTTTGTTTCTTGTATGTAATTCGAAGGAAGACAAACATTTATACCTGTACTTAATTATATGTGTTTTGAGTCGTCGAAAACAATTTGTTCTTCATATTTGAATATTTCTCCACCTTTTTAGTACTAACCATATTCATCTATTTGTCCCCTCACTATAGGAGTCCTCGCAATGGCCAATTGTGGAACCTTTGCCATCTTATGGCCAGGGACTAGACCTTCCAGGTCCTAGACATTGTAGCTTAATAAATGGATACAATTTAACAGATGTTGTTATTACTGGTAATTTTCTTGTTATATGTACGGGCTTTGACTATGTCACATTTGTTTTTCTAGTTTTGACAACTGTTGCGTGCTTGGTCCACTTGTCGCAGGGAATAATGGACTTATCGATGGCCAGGGCTTAGTATGGTGGGATTGGCTTCGCTCTCATGAACTAAATCATAGCCGCCCTCATCTCGTGGAGTTTCTGTATTCTGAAGAAATTGTGATATCAAACTTGACATTTTTGAACTCACCAGCCTGGAGCATACATCCAGTGTACTGCAGGTGCATTAGCATTAATGATCTTCATGCACGAGGTGTGATTCCGTGAGTGTTATTTGAGCATATACTAACTCTTACTGTTTTGTTTGTTTTCCAGCAATGTAAAGGTTCATAACGTCACAATTAAGACTTTGTTGGATGCTCCACTCACTGATGGCATAGTTCCAGGTATGATTGCTTCTAGTGTGGAGTACCATCTCGTCTTCACACATTGTTTGGTGATTAATCATATGTATTTTGCACAGTAGTACTACCATTTTAAGATTAGGGTTCACAAATGAGCCAAGCCATAATTTTAAGATAGCAAATCCATTTGAATTTATTTTGAGTTGTTATTTCACACTAATATTTAGGAGACTAATGCTGACACAACAGGTGAACTACTAGAAGTTTTTCGAGGGAATTCAACTGACACACCTCTTTCTTTCTGTGGTATTTGTGGTTGCCATGTGCAATAAAAAGCTAGTTAACTCGAATCATTGTATTAAGAAACATGGGTATACTTAAAAGGCCCTATGCAACATGCTATGGATTTCAAACCATTGTTTTAGCTAACTTTAAGTGGTGTTGAACTGTTGTCTTCCAACTTTTTTGCGTATGTAGATTTCGATAGACATGACAAGGAGTTTTACTTACTATTTCAACTGCATCATTCTGTCTCCACTCCATAACAATGAGAAGCAACTTTTACTTCTTTTACTAATGGAACATTCCTTATCCAGATTCATGTTTGAATGTCTGCATCGAAGACAGCACCATTAGTGTCAGTCATGAAGCCATCTCAGTGAAAAGTGGGTTGGACAAGTACGGCATTTCTATCGGAAGGCCAACCTCGGACATTCATATCAGCAGAGTGGATCTTCAAGCGTCATCTGGTGCTGCACTTGCATTTGGCAGTGAGATGTCCGGTGGGATCTCAGGTATTCATGCTGACCACCTAAGGATACATGGTTCTGATAAAGGGTTCTCTTTGAAGACCACCCCTGGTCGTGGAGGTTACATAAAGGAAGTGATCATCTCAGATGTAGAAATGGATGGTATTCGTGTGGCCATTGAATTCATAGGTAATTTATCAAGCCATCCAGATGATGATTTTGATCCGTCTGAGCTTCCGGTGATTGATCAAATCACCTTAAAGAATATGGTGGGAACAAACATCTCGGTTGCAGGAATTTTATTAGGAATTGACAGTGATCCATTTACTGCGATTTGCCTTTCCAATCTCAGTTTCTCGATAACTGATTCGCTCCATTCTAGTCCCTGGTCTTGTTCCAATGTTTCTGGATACTCGGAATCGGTCTTGCCTGAGCCTTGCTCGGAACTGTATGCACCATCCTCAAATTCTTCAATTTGCTTCTCCCTTCCTAGTTACAGTGCACTTGATGTGGCATAGTCACATATATATTCTTGTGTTCATACTTCGCTTTTCTTGTCGCAGTCCTTGTACAATTCAGAAACATTAAACCTTCACCACCATATTTTTTCTATTTTTTTCCCAATAAATGTGTCAAGAAGAATCATATCAGGGTACACCACAAGATGCATAATGATCATGAGGAAGAATCAAGTGGGGTTGTGGACAGCTATGTGCTTGCTTGTACAGCTACATTTCTTCATTCAATCAGTAAGAAATTTTCTTTTTGATAGGGCTTGTGTGCACAACAGTTGTCCTTTGGTTATAAATTATCCAACCGTTTAGATTACCTCTGTATATTTTATCTCCCAGTGAGAATTAGTAAATCTGATAAACAGTATCACATGTTTTCTTGGAGTTTGTCAGCCTGGCTATGAATGTAGAGCCAGACGTCTCCCTAGTTAAATAATTTGCTGTCAGATGAGTTGTTAATTTCATGCTGATGGCTCCATTTGTCCTCTCCCGGGCTCATTCATTACGATTAGCTTGTCCTTGCTGCCATGCTGTACTCCAATGGGGTCATGCTAGGTTGCCAACTGTGCAATCTTCAACTGCCACCTGTTGCTGAATAGCTGATAAATACATGTTCCGATGTTGATGTTGAGCTGGTCATGCTGGCCTTTTCATGTACACTTTTGGAGGAATCTCTTTGATGTCAAGAAGAAAAATAAACCTGTTGGGGCTTCATTATTCTCTGCATGGACGCAATAGGTGTTGTGTATTGTCATCAGAGTGCTTAGGCATTCACAAAAAGTAGCACAAGATTCCTCTTGGTTAGTCTTTACCGGAGTTGATATTTCTGTACGCTCTTATATCATGGGATGACGGAGGGAGTATATATTACACTGAACTAATACCCTTATTTTGTTTAGGTGTCCTATTCTAGCCGACTAAGGGCATCTCCGATGCTGACCCCGTGTCGCACCGTTCAGACGTGTTTTGCCATCGAATGAGGACCTGTATCGGTCTGTCGGACGATCCCAATGTGATTTGTCTCATAAATCGGACGGACGATCCCAATGTGATTTTTCTCATAAATCGGAAACAAATTAGGGGGCACTGCCACGCCCACTTTTGACTACGCCGTTCCACTCAAAAACACCGCACGGCCTAGACGTGTTTTGCCATCCAACGAGGGCCTGTATCGGTCTGTCGGCCGATCCTAATGTGATTTTTCTCGTAAATGGGAAACAAACTAGGGGGCCGCTGCCACGCCCGCTTCTGACTGCGTCGTTCCACCCCAAAACACCTCCTTTGCCTATGCCATTTCTCACCCGAAGTCGGCTACCCACATTCATGCCGCTCTAGAGCGGCCACAACGTATTGACACTGACCCAGAGCGAACATGACCTCTTACTGGTGCCGACAACGAAGCGGCTCGCCGGCCGAGGACATCGCATGTGCCGCGTCCCTGGTGTTCGCGCTTGTTCAATGTCGGAGAGACGTTTACCGGATGGGACGGGATGGATATTTACCACGCCGATTCAATGACGGCCCCTCTGTCTGCGGCCATTAAACAAGCTCGTAAGCCAAGAAACCAACTCCGTCGCCCGCGCATTGACGCACCTGGATGCTTGGCCTCGCCGATCGCCGACATCCACTATTTTTAAGGTGGACACACCTGGCTCACAGCACACCACAACCCATCCACCCGCCATCTTTCTCCCGTGCACCACGTCTGCCATGACCGCGAGCGGGAACACGCTGTAGGAGAGCCTCTTGACCCAGCATAAGCACGAGGTGGCAGCCCTTGCGGCCGGCTGACAGAGCTGTCGTGCTAGGTGGATAGAGGGCGGCATGATGGAAACTGGCCCCGACGAGGACTCCCCATTGCAGCCCATGTCAGTGCATGCTGGCTTGATGATTGAGCAGTAGGCGCACTTCGATGGGTCTTATCCCCGCCGCTCATGAAGATAGCAGATGGAGGACGCGGGCGCCCAAAGGTTACAACAAGGACTTGGAGAACGGGCACTGTCATAGGCTAGGTTTAGGTCTGCTCCTTTTTTCATAATGAAAATTGTCCGAAATGTAATGAATATGCCCTGAAAATCATCTAGTTTGCATGTAGTTTGTCCGGTTTATTAAAGCCCGGCTTGAAATGTATGTGGATAACTTTGGATGTCCGGCTCCAACATCAGTGTCCATGGACTAGTACCCCTGTCCCCCGACAGGTGCGATGTCCGGTTTGTAGGTCAACATTGAAGATGCCCTAACATCCTATATATGTTTCTTGTAGTAAGAAAAATAAACATCCTATATATGTAGATCAAAGCAAAGTCATCTTCTGAAGTTTAGTTCCGGAACGGCAAATGATAATTAAAAATTCACCATACATATTTATATTCATTAAAGTACAGTTCAGAAATAAGGGTATCTAAAACGCTGACCCTTAAAATGGACACTAGACACGTATCTGTCCGCGGACGCGCATGAACGGATCCACGGACAGTGATATAGGCGTCGACCATCCAACCATGTCCATATATATTTTAAATCGGACAAATTACATGCAAACCCGGTGAGTTTCATCTAAATCGAAGCACATTCATTATATTTTCGACATATTTCATTAAACTAAAGTGAGCGGACCTAAACCTAGTCTAAATCTACATTGGCGCCCAATCTCCAAGTCCTTGTTGTTACCCTGCGTGCCCTTGCCGGGTGGCCGGTGCCTATGTCTGGTGGAGAGGAGACCCATAAAGTGAAGATGTGGTCATTGGCAAGAAAGAGTAAGACATGGAAACAGACTGGCCAACTTGAGACTCGAGACTCCGCCGCCTCCTAGATTGTTGTAAAAAACAGTAAGGGACTAGTTTGTTTCCTAGTGCATATAAAGAGAAAATAGTCCATGGCGCATCGAGAAGAATGCTATGTTCTTTCATGAACTTCGAACTTCGCCGAGAAATATCTACATTGGAGAGAAGAAAGAGATATGTTTCGAGAAGAAACCATACCGTGAAGTTTGTGTGAAGAAGTTGACCCCTCAAAAATATTGTTGATGCAAAGCAATTTCCGTTCGGTTTGTCTGAAGAAGAATGACTACAGTCGAGAACATTGAAGGCAAAGCAAATACATATGATTTGTTTCGTTGTTCTTCTTTCTCTTGTTTGAGTCATAGGACCATGATGCGTCTCAAATGTATTTATATTTTAATTTTTAAATGCTATTATATTATCACTTTTGTATGCTTTATATGTTATTTTATATTATTTTTCTAGACTAATCTATTAATTTAGTGTTGAGTGCCAGTTCTTTTTTTGCATGTTTCTGGTTTTTCAGGAAATCCATACCTACGGAAGTCCAAACACGAGTAATAGTAGTGGATGTAGTTGGATTGCGGTCTACTTATCACTGGCGTAATGCCTATATGAGATTATACCATGAATGATCATAGTTATAATTTCCCTATATGAGATTATACCATGAATGATCATAGTTATAATTTGTGTTATTCTGTCAATTGCCCAACATTAATTTGTCTATCATGCCTATACATCCTTTCGAGAGAGATGCCTCTAGTGAACATATGGCCCCGGGTCTATTTTTCATCAATACAAAAGTTCCTACAATTGCTCTTTTATATTCTTTAACTTCTTGCCGCTTTGCCTTATCACTATTTGCTTTTATTCTTGTAGCTAGCAAGAACAAGGGGATTGCAGCCCTCTTGCCTTGTTGGGTGTAAGCAATTTGTATATTTGTGTGCAGTTGCTGCTAACGTTGCTAGCTTGGTTCCTCCTAGTGGTTCGATAAACTTTGGTTGTTACTTAAGGGAAATACTTTCTGCTGATGTGCTACATCTCCCTTTCTCTTTGGGAAAATCCAACAACTCCATCATGAGTAGTAGAAGAATTTCTGGTGCCGTTGCCAGAGAGGTTACCATCTACCAAATCAGGTGCCTTTGCATAAACACCCTGTTTTTTCTTGTTTTTATTTTCTTGTCTAGTTGTCTTTTGCCTTTTATTTGCCTTCTTTTTGGTTTGCCAAAAAAAATCCAAAATAATAAACAAAATCTTGAGTTGCTATCTCTGCTTGTGTCGCCACTATGTCTACTCTTGAAGAAGTTGATGTTGAAAGTGCTAGTGAAGATAATCCTAGCGAAAATCATGAGGAAGCACTTAAGATACCTAACTTTAATAATGATCCTCATGTTAATGAACCTCCTTTGAGTTTTTAAAACAAAAATATTGTCGTATAGGAAGCGGGAATGTTATTGGAAAAAGTGTTATTCAATAACTCTTTACTTGTGTGGGAGTCATATCGTGAAGTGGAGGATATGTTCTTAAGAAAACTAATAATTATGTGGATGCTATTGCTATGCTTGTACTCAAACCCAAAAGTTTTTTTTTCATATCCATCGCTTTACAAAGATTGTTTCTTGAGCTCCCCAATATTCATGATCCTAGATCTAAAAAGTTAGCTACCATTATCCTTATGAATGAATTTATTTTATAATACAAGAAGCTAGGGACATCTTTGCTTTTTACAAATAATAATAATGAATATCCTCCTATAGAAGAAACCCTCCATGATCAAGATGTTATGCGTAGAATGAAATCTAAAGATTATCATGCTTTGTAGCGAATCCTAGGAAAAGAGTTCCCCATTAAGTTTTGGCTCAAAATTTATTTAAAAGCACTAACGATAAATTTGAATGGATTGCAGAGGGATTGAGGATGTATTTACCGAAGATCGGTTTAAATATGCCTCTAGACTTCCTATAGATGATGAATTTACCATTATGTATGAAGGTTTTCATGGAGATGATCCAATCCCACAAGAGTTTGAGTTTATGAATGTTAAAATTACTAAGTATAGTCCCTTTTATTATTTGAGCTTACCCGCTAGAAAATTTGCTGCTGAAAAGAGGGATCTCTTGAGGGAAATTTACGATGATATTGTTCTAAAGTAATTCAAGAAAGATGATAATACTTGATAGATTGCGTTATGCCTAGCTAGGGGCATTAAACAATAGCGCTTGT